AGATAGATAGATAGATAGATAGATAGATTTATTTATTTTAAAAACATTTTATTTTTAAATTATGATATTTTGAGCTATAATTTGCAACCAAAACATGGCTGTGTGTGTGGTCATGTGGGGTGCCATCAGGCTGAATCGATGAGTGATCTCTTTAAAATGTTCAATTTTAAACACTTTGTACATATCAACATTTCTGAATATACCCTAATAACTAATTTCACTACCAGAATTTTGTGGTTTTAGAAGAGTGGAAGTTAATTTCGTTGTTTCATAATTTCAGGTCCTCCTGGGCCAAGAGGTCCTGGGGGAGACAAAGGGTCCCAGGGGCCACCTGGCAAAGCTGGCCAGAAAGGTGAAAATGGTGAAAAGGGAGCACCTGGTGTTCCTGGGCCTAAAGGAGAAAGGGGTCCAGCAGGGCTTTCTGGTGTACCAGGGATGAAAGGGCCACCCGGATCAAGAGGAAGCCCTGGGCCAAAAGGTTCACGAGGATCTGGGGGCAGGGCGGGGCCTTCGGGAGAGAAAGGTGACCCTGGTATACCTGGGCTGCCTGGAAGAGATGGTCAGCCAGGTCCTCAAGGGCCACAAGGGCCGCAAGGACTCAGAGGGCCAGCTGGACCAGCTGGGCCTGCAGGACTGGATGGACCCCGTGGGCCCGTTGGCCCCATTGGCCCACCTGGCCCACCTGGACCTCCTGGATTACCAGGACTTCCTGCACCAGTAGTTGTGTCCCCGGTAGATCCACAAGGCTTTGTCAACCGCCAGGTAGCGCCACCCCCTACAAGTACACCAGGTACTAGCTTTTCTTATACTCACTATTCACATTCACCAGTGGGTCTCAAACTTTTTATAGTCGCGTACCCTGCCAGGCATTTAATGTCCTTCTGCGTACCCCCTCTCTCACACTGGTCACAAAGTATTTTAAAAACATGCACATGTAATATACCTTTGTAAAATAAATCCCTTTTATCAAACACATCATTAGTATGCAACCTATCATATATTTTATAAATAAATTACGTTTTAATGAGATGGGTGTGCTAGATATTTGCATAACTCTGCGATGTTTAGCTGTATCGGAGAGAGTCTAGGCATGACGAAGCGGATATCGTCCTCTTTTGGAAGACCAA